TACTATACCATTTCTATATTCAAGCTGCATTCTAAGTAGAATATCATGGCCCAGACCCCACAGATTCAAGGCGTCAACATTCGTGACGGCAATACCAACTGCGGCAACATTACAGCAAATTACACTAATGTCTACACCTGCGACGAGGATGTACAGATTATGCGCTGGCTTTCCCCATTAGAGCCACACAGAAGACATCAGGATGTGCGCACTGATCGATTTGGCGGTGTCGGAGAGTGGCTTCTGGAGACAAGCGAGTTTCGGAAGTGGAGAGGTAGAGAGGGTGGAGCAGATGAGGCTGTCTTCTTTTGCAGCGGGAATCCTGGAGTGGGCAAGACATATCTTAGGTAAGTGTCCAGATCCTTTAAAAGAAGCGAATATGGCTGACATCATGAAATGCTAGTTCCTTGACGGTCGACAAGTTGTGCGACGAAGCAGAGACCGAAGCGATCGGGGTTGCATGCTTCTACTGCGACTACAAAGCCCAGGAAGAGCAGACCATCCTTAACCTGGTGGGGGCTATTCTGAAACAGCTTGTATGCCGAGGGAACATCCCGGAATATCTGCGCGAGGCGTTTCATAAAGGGAAGATGGAGATTGGTGGCAGAGGACTGCTGCTGGGGGATCTAATGAGAATGCTGACCAGCGCAATCGCTTCACTCTCCGAGGTCTTCGTCTGTATCGATGCCTTAGACGAATACTTACCGAAACATCTGCCAGAGCTTCTGGAGTCGCTAAGAAATATCGTTTGCCAGTGCCCGCGGGTGCGAATCTTCCTCACCGGCAGGCCACATGTAAAGGAAGAGATTCAAAGATATTTCCCCAAGGCGGTTGTAATACCTATCGGTCCCAAGACCGATGATATTAGGAATTACGTTGAGCGGAGGCTAGACAGGGATGCCGAATCAGAGGCAATGAACGCTCGCTTACGGGCTGAGATAATAACCGTTATTTTAGAAAGAATATCTGATGCGTGCGTAGCACTCCCCCCTCCCCCTCCCCGATCAATGGTGTACACTCACATGCCACTGTCTGCAGGTTCTTGCTTGTCTCTCTAAACATGGACGCCATTCTGGGGGAGGTGACCATTCGCCGGAGAAGAGAGAAGCTGCAAGGCATGACGCGAGGCAATGGTTTGAGCGACGCCTACACAGCAACTTTAACACGAGTGAAAGCGCAGAAGGGGGATAAATCCATTATTGGAATGAAGGTCCTGATGTGGGTGTTGCATTCAGAACGACCATTAAGGGTAGAGGAGCTCTGCCATGCATTAGGAGTAGAGCTCGGATCCTCAGATCTAGATGTTGAAGATGTTCCTGCGTTACGGACACTTGTAGCATCAGCGCTGGGCCTGGTCACTGTCGAGGCATCTTCATCCACTGTCCGACTTGTACACTTTACCCTGCAGGAGCACCTCTCGAACGATCCTACACTATTCCGTAATCCCCACTCAGCAATTGCGGAGGTTTGCTTGACTTACCTCAACTTCGGAAGTGTCTGCGATCTTTCGCCAACCCCCCCCTGGGCCCCGTCAACAACACCCCTTCTAGAATATGCCTCTTGTTACTGGGGTAATCACGCAACAAGGGGAATGACAGAAAGCGTGAAAACACTGGCGCTGAGGCTTCTTGATAGATTTGATGAGCATATATCTGCTCAGCTATTGCTTTTACGCTCTAACCTTGATAGACACTATTCCCCATATTTTAGCGGGGAGAGAGGACCTGTGGGATTTACCGGACTACACGGAGCAGCATTTCTAGGGATTGTGGACATAATTACGTCTGTATTGAGGATGAAGGAGTGGGATGTGAATGCGACTGATGGCATGGGTATGACGGCTCTCATGTGGGCGGCTACGAGCGGGCATGAGGGGGTAGTAAAGATACTTTTGCAACGAGAGGGCGTCAATCCCGATCTAGCAGACACCTTGTATGGCCAAACGCCACTCTCGTGGGCCGCTGAGAAGGGCATGGAGGGGTAGTAAGGATGCTTTTGCACCGAGAGGACGTCAATCCCGACCAGGCAGACAC